AAACTGAATTTAAGATAAAATCCAATTTTCTTATGGATTTAAATTTAGTACAATTTTACCTATCTATACTTACATCGACAAAATTAACTCTAGCTAAATAAAAAAAAATTAAATATTTAAAAAGGGGCAAACCGTAATTTAGGCCTTAAAAAATTAATTTCACAAGTTCAAAGATTGACCTCCTTCCTTGGATCCTTTTGACCAGTACGTTGTCACCAAATCTAGATCTTTCTTCATGTTAAAAACAGAGAAAATGACGAGGGAGAATACGGGAAATTAAGCGGGCAAATTAAATAAATGATACAAGTATGCATTACACTAGCATAGGAACACATTTATACACCAATACAATTAGATTAATTTGAGTAAACCACAGTACATAAACATAAAGATTATATGTTAAAACTAATCCTTCAAATGTAGGAGTAGTTGAAAAATCTTTTTCAGATGCACACGTACATTCAGGATTGGAATTTGCATGTGCCATAACCTACAAAAAATACAAAACACATGGAAGGCGTCATTAGAATATTAGTATAGTGAAAACTATATGGTAAAAACAATTATTCATTAGTTGTACAAACGAACAATTTCAACTCGGAATGTGACTTACTTGGATCAGTAGAGGCGACGACACCAGTACCGGCAAAGTCGCAGTTGAATGCGTTGCGGCCCTCCCTTTGGTAGTATGAGTTCATGGCAAAGGCAGCGTGAGACCTAATAGTGTTGGGATTAAAGCAGGGACCTCCAGCTTGAATTGGGGTGCAATCCACTCCTTGGCTGCACACATAGTTTATGTTGGATTGTAATTGTGCATCCGTAGCGTCGGCTTTCGGCATGCAGAATTTTTTGCTCTCTGCTGGTCTTACTGGTGATGTTGGTTGCCCTTTGTTGCCACTACCATTTCTTGGCGCGGGCAATGCTGGTGTTGGTTGAGCCTGTGGGTATCAAAATCACAAAGATGGTATAAAAGTAGTTCGTCAAAACAAACAAATAAATAACTAAATGAAGATTATGTAAATGATTAGAGGTGACAAATGAATGTATTGGTTCTAACTTGGATATACCAAGTCAATAAACCGATTACTCCCTCCGTTTCAGTTTATGTAAACTTATTTTTTTTTTGGTCCCTTTCTAAATTTGGAAACAATTAAGCTTAAAATTTTAATTCTACCCTTAATGAGAAACTTTTATAATCACACAAATACTTTGGACCCCTTTCTGACATGTTTAGGACCACAAATTCCAAAAGTCCTCATTTTTTCTTAAACTCCGTGCTCAGTCAAACAAGTTCACATAAATTGGAACAGAGGGAATATTACTAAATTCACCCAAAATTTGTATGGGTTAAAATAGGTCAAATAACGGTGATCCTAATATTATCCGACCAACCATTGGATCCATTTAAAGATACAAAAAAATGATGCTCAAATCTTTTTCTTTTTCATTTTCTAAAAAGACATCTCAGAAATGGGCATAAAGAATTCGACAGCACATGTTCATTAGGTCGTAACCGCTAGAACTTTCCAGCACGCTACCCTTTTTTGTGTACTGAGAAACGATAGTACCGTTACTACTATCTTTTTAATGGAAGGGGAATCCAATGTAAAAACTTATTATTGTATGTGGTGGGACTGGTGTCAAGTTTATGAAGTTCCAGCTTGCAACGTATCTGGTTAATTTTTTTGGTTAAATATCAAGATTTAGTTCGAGGATAGCAAAACAAACAATGAGCTAACAATACAAATCTAGCTACGCACTACACCAAAATAATTTTGAGGTCCATATTCTAAAGTGTTCGTCTATAAAAGTATTTGTGTTAAACTAATGGAGTAGTAAAAAAAGTATTTGCGTTAACACCGTCAATTTTGAATCAATTAATTGTCGGTTGCCCTATTCGACAGACAAAGTACACCAACCGGAATAGGTGATTTTATTCACATGAAGCCAAGTGTCCCTCACATGGACAACATATTCCATCTTGAGTGGGAAAATGCAATACAACCAGCTGTGATCAACTGAAAAAGCTACTAGCAGTTCAAAGATTTTTGAAGCTACGTCCCAACAAAAAACAATGGGGCGCAAAGAGAAAAGAATAGGAAACACCTTCCATGTAACAGGAAATACGTGAAACAAATTACAAAAGCTTGTCATAATTATAGCTGGACAAGTCAAATTCCTATTAAACTCCTCAATTCAATTTTCACATCCTCTTAAAATGACTTAAATGCCCTCATACCTTCGAATTAGTAAGTGTCGTAAAGTTGGTCTCCCAAAAACATTAAATGATCAGTTAATGAGGTATCAGTTTATTTATACTTAACAAAAAGAATTAATTAATAATTACTCCCTCCGTTCAACTAATTTGCTTAGAAAATACTAAATTCTATACAAAAATATATAGTATGACTAAACTATCTTTAACTAAATATTTAATGTGTGGAGTAAAAAAACCTTTTAGGAATATCTAAATAAGAATAATTTTGTAAAAACAAATTGAACTTTTTCTTGATTACCAAAATAAAACATATGGACCGCAATTACTTAGCATGAATGGCTAAACAAGAAGGTGCGTGGCGTGGTTTAAAAGAGGTTCCCTTGTTTTAGCTGGATGTCAGAATGGTGTCCAAATTGGACATTAAGCAGCCAGAAGAATATGAAAAAGAAAAGAAATTCAACTTAAGCCTATAATCAACAAACACTATATATATGCAAGAACATTCGTCGAACACACAATAATTTAACGCGAAACGGCCAACTTCTTAATTACCAGCAATACAAATTTTGAAGTGATGATAAAATGTAAGTGGTAATTAATGAAGAAAGTTCAAGTTACCTGCTCTCCTTTCAAGACTCCAATATTGTAAACCGGGGTGAAATCCGGGCGAAACAATCCGAAATTCCTCTCAGCAATTGAACCGGGTTTAGTGTTCTCGTTGAACAATCCGAATATGTATGTCTCAATCTTCCTGTGCGGCATCAATGGCGTCCCTGTCTCAGAGTTGTACTTCCTCAACAGCCCACCATTGTAAGAAGCCGCATTTTCCACCGTACATTGAGGCTCAAATGACTCACCCTGAGATGGCCATCCTGTCTCCGCTGCTACAATCTCTACATCTGGGTATTTAAGCCTTACCATCGACATATACACCGCATCTAACAACATGTCGAACGAGTTTGTGTACCATTTCTTAGAAAACCTGTCGTAGACACCTTTGTTTTTCCTGAATAAAAGGAAGTCCTCCTGTTTTGGGTTGTACCCAAAGTATGGGTAAGGGTTTACCATAAAAGGTCCTTTTGTCTCGCGCAAGAATTGGAGCATAGGGGCCAGAATACCCACATCCCAACCAGGCCTAAACCTCGCGGCGCTAGGTGGGTTGGATCTTAAAAGGATACCCAGAGAATGAGGAGAGGAGACCTTGATATCCTTTAACCCGGACTGACCAAGAGCTTGGTAAAAGGTTTTCATGGCAGGAACCAGCTTCATCTGGATATCTGGTCCGTCCCAGTGGAGGACTTCATTTCCCACAAGAATAACATCAATCTTGGTTTGTGGGTAAAAGGGTTTGATGTTGGCGTCGATATATCGGCGAGCATAACTGATGTCCAAGAGGTTGGGGATCTCTCCGTTTGGAACAGTGACGGTAACTGAGATTCCTGTGTTGGCGAAAGCTCGAAGGATGTCGGGGTTGATGTCGAAGATTTTGATACGGTCTATGACGGTCTTGTCTTTGAGAAACTGAGCAACTTGAGCTGGCGGAGGAAGGTTGTTCCCTAGTGTGCCATAATTAACACCGATAGAATTAACAGCCGGGAAAAACAGAGGAACAACAAACAATATTAGCAACAACAGGGACGGTCTTTTGTCTGGCATGTTTTTACAAAGGGGTTTGGTGAAGAAGGGAGAGGGAAAATGGAAGGATTATTAATGAAGTGGAGAAAGTGAAAGAGGGTCAAATTTGGATTTGGACTAGTTTGAACAAAGGAAGAACGTTCAAAGGCTGTTGGCGATGGAGTTTTCTAGTTTTGAGCTTCGTTTAATGCCTTGGGAATCGAGGGGGGCCTATTATTTTTATTTTGAATATTGAGGGAGCATCCTATAAACGTGTCGTGGCAACAAAGGTTAAAAGAGATGCCATAATTATTCTGATTACGCGTATGTTGCGCAACGCCACTTGTAAAATGAATATGTCCGAAAAGCGACAACGGACTCTATAGATTTACAGTAACACCTCATTATCCAGCACATGGGATTAACATCATGTTACCCGTGCCGACACGCCCCAAAATGGAAATTATAAGCTATTTTAGTGTTACTTGAAATTTTAATCTTATAATATTTCGTATTATTCTTATACTATGCTTCTTTACAATTTTAAAATTAAAAAGTTAATATTTTTAGATTTCTTGTGTAGGCAGATAGGCTAAATGTCACCTATATTTGTGTCACTTTGTCATTTCGGTTTCTGCATTCGATGAAGTTTCATCCAGACACCTTAACTTAGTCAAAACATGTATTTTAAACCCCTCTGATCGTTGACTGAGCTTAGGTGTCATTCATTTTGCTGAGTCAGAAAAATGAGTGGTTACACGTAGGGGTGGGCGTTCGGTATTTAAGAATTTCGGTTCGGTATTTCGGTATTCGGTTTATCAATTGTGTATACCAAATACCATACCAAAATATTTCAGTACGGTTCGATATTTCTTATTTTGGTTCGGTACGGTTTCGGTTTAACAATCAATGAATAATCAATATTTCGGTGCACTGTTTTCCGATATATAATAGTGCACAACTGCACATGGCTGATCTGAATCTGATGGCACATGCACAATTGAATAAGTGAAAAGCAAAAGCTGAACAAGACAACAACTTCTTTACAAGCAAAAACTGCACATTACACAACTTAACACTTAACACAATACACAATTGAATCTGTACACAACTACACAACACATTACACAACTTAACACTTAACACAGTACACAGCCAAACCATCTTAACAGCATCTGCAAGCATGAACTAAGATGCAGCAGCAGAGAAACCAGTGATTGGAATTGTGGCCAAGTGTACCAGGAACACAGCAAATCCAATAGGCAATGGTACCAAAAGAGGGACATGTGAATCCCTAGCACCAAGACACTGCATCACCATGTAGAACACTGCCCTTGTCAACGACAGTTTCCTTGCCAAGAACAGCCCAAAGGTCACTGTTGGATTTATGTGTCCTCCAGAAATGCCAGCAGTACAGTAGACAAGGGCAAAGATCATGCCCACAAAAGCCCAAGCAATGCCTTGAATACCAACAGTGGAGCATTTGGACTTAGACTTTGAAACACCCATCACTGTTAAGATAGTGATGTAAAGGAAGAGGAAAGTGGCCATGAACTCAGCAATTCCAGCACGATAGAATGACCAAGACGTCAATTCTCCTGCCTCAAATAGTGGCGCTGGTGGTGGCTCTGTATAATCCTTGTCACTCTGTGCTGCCGTCCCAATCGCTTGCCTCTCTGAATATTTGTTTGCTCCTAATCTTACATCTTCTTCTTTGTTCTCCATGTTTGTTTTCTCAATTCACAGGAAAATTTACTCAACTTGAGGAAGGATTTATGTTTNCAAAATATTTCAGTACGGTTCGATATTTCTTATTTTGGTTCGGTACGGTTTCGGTTTAACAATCAATGAATAATCAATATTTCGGTGCACTGTTTTCCGATATATAATAGTGCACAACTGCACATGGCTGATCTGAATCTGATGGCACATGCACAATTGAATAAGTGAAAAGCAAAAGCTGAACAAGACAACAACTTCTTTACAAGCAAAAACTGTACATTACACAACTNCAGTTTCTATCCAGTTAATATGATCTATCCAAAATTAATTAGAGTACTATGTCCATTGCTAAAGAATAGAGAGCAGCAGCAGCAGAAATTAGTACAGTTTCTATCCAGTTAGCTCTAGTAAGATACAATTACTACAGTTTGTGCAACGGGCTACATAAATTAATCATTTTCCTATATCAGTTACTTCAATCAATATCAATACACAACTGCCAACGCCCAACGCTTACTGCTAAAGAAATTTCACTAAACTACTATCTTCATTCCCTGTTCTACTGCTATACCTAATAGGATTTTCATATGTCAACCTACTTTATACCTAATCAAACACTTGATCCAAAAAAATGAGTTNTTGGATTTATGTGTCCTCCAGAAATGCCAGCAGTACAGTAGACAAGGGCAAAGATCATGCCCACAAAAGCCCAAGCAATGCCTTGAATACCAACAGTGGAGCATTTGGACTTAGACTTTGAAACACCCATCACTGTTAAGATAGTGATGTAAAGGAAGAGGAAAGTGGCCATGAACTCAGCAATTCCAGCACGATAGAATGACCAAGACGTCAATTCTCCTGCCTCAAATAGTGGCGCTGGTGGTGGCTCTGTATAATCCTTGTCACTCTGTGCTGCCGTCCCAATCGCTTGCCTCTCTGAATATTTGTTTGCTCCTAATCTTACATCTTCTTCTTTGTTCTCCATGTTTGTTTTCTCAATTCACAGGAAAATTTACTCAACTTGAGGAAGGATTTATGTTTGGCCGTTGATGGGCAGTAACACAATATTAAGTCCATTAGCCCGCCGATTAACATATAGTCATATATCAGTCTGAATAAAGTTGAAGATTCCACCAAGTCTAAAGAAGATTTTAACAAAATAGAAAGAGAAAACAAAATCTTTTTGTAATCATCTTAGTACAGTTTCTATCCAGTTAATATGATCTATCCAAAATTAATTAGAGTACTATGTCCATTGCTAAAGAACAGAGAGCAGCAGCAGCAGAAATTAGTACAGTTTCTATCCAGTTAGCTCTAGTAAGATACAATTACTACAGTTTGTGCAACGGGCTACATAAATTAATCATTTTCCTATATCAGTTACTTCAATCAATATCAATACACAACTGCCAACGCCCAACGCTTACTGCTAAAGAAATTTCACTAAACTACTATCTTCATTCCCTGTTCTACTGCTATACCTAATAGGATTTTCATATGTCAACCTACTTTATACCTAATCAAACACTTGATCCAAAAAAATGAGTTTCGAATATAAAATTAATCTTTGCTAAAGAACATCGCTATAAATCTTCATCAAATTCATTTCCATCGCTAGAAAGTAGAAACATACCTTTGAAAATTGAAACTATCGCAAGTTCGCAACAACAACATCTTCGTTTGCCCGGAATTTGTGAGGAGTGAGGACTGAGGAGTGAGGAGTCGGAGCTCGGAACCTTGGTAAATTCTTTACGATTAGCAACCTTGGTAAAAATCCAACAAATCCCATCACAACAAAACCGATCGTTGTACGAGTAGCAACCTTGGTAAATTCTTTACGATCAGGCTTGTGACATCTTTTGACGAGCCTAACACTGTCTTTGGCGAAATCTCTAAGAGGATCGAACACAGAATCGAGAGCGTCCATTTGAATTAGATCTGATCTGAAAGAAGAAGCAGATCAGGGTTTCTGTTTTGTATCTGAATTGGACAAATGACCTTTAGAGTTTAGGCTTGGGCTTGGGCATTTGGGGCTGGGGCGGGCGATGGGCTGGGCAGTAATAATTAAGAAAATATCTTTTAAAAATCGGATTTTTGGTATTTCGGTATACCGAAATTTCATAATTTTAATACCGAAGACCGTACCGAAATACCGAAATACCTAAATTGCAATACCAAATTGGACCGAAATACCGAAAAAAACCGAAACCGAAATACCGAATTAATTCGGTCCGGTTCGGAATTCGAATTTTCGGATTTTATGCCCACCCCCAGTTACACGCTCTAAAAAGGAGAGTGCATATATTTATTTTGATTTAAAAATATTAAAAGGAATAAAGAATAACCATAAAAAAGAAAAAGAGTAAATTAATTTTCCAACCCAAGTATCTCTACCCGTTTCCCAATCCTTCGGCCTTATTTCACCCCGTTTCTCCCCGTATTCATCTCCCCCTCTTTCCTATCGTAATCCTGTTTCTCCCCGACCTTATGAAAAGAAGAACCACCAACTAGAAAGCGTTTTGTGTAATTAGCAGGTCTAAGCAATAGGTATATAATTGAAAACAAAGCAAGAAAATAGGACGCAAATAACCAATTGCTGAAGAAGAAGAAGAAGAAGAAGAAGAAGAAGAAGAAGAAGAAGAAGAAGAAGAAGAAGAAGAAGAAGAAGAAGAAGAAGAAGAAGAGTACACTTATTACCTGCAAAATCATATGTTTAAGGATAGAGGCGCTAGATTGAACAAATTGTCAAATCGCAAGTGGAAATTGCTAAGGCGTTCTGAGATACTACATTCATATATACACGACATTAATTCTTAGGGTTTAGTAACGCTCGATTGTATCCATATAACACCTCTCCCAGCTTCTTGCTGCAAGGAAATTATTCCGGAAAGGCTCTACAGTATGTGAATTTTCATCTTCGTTCTAAAGAGAAGTGGTTAAATAAGGAGTGAAAAAGGGAAGTTGAAGGGTGGTGTTAATGGCGTTAGGCCTAGGAATGGAGAAAACGATGATTGGCCAGCAATTGATTTTGGGGCTGCTTGGTTTATTGAGATCCCCAAAATGCAACTCACTTACCTTCAATCTCTTCAACGTTTTAGCCAATGCAGCAACAATGAACCTAGCTTTCTTCTTAAGGGTTTCTTCAAGCTCTGAACTTTTATCTTCAATCGCTTCTTCAGATGCACTTGTGTTAACTTTATATTCCAGAAAAAAGAGGGGTTTTTCTTGATTTTCCCAATTACTTTTTCCCTTAGGTGTATTAAGTGGATGATGTGGCATTGATTTATCTGATATGGACATGATATATTTTCCACGTCAGGCGAGTGACCAACATGTAATGCCGAAGGGGTTTAAAATGCATGTTTTGATTGAGTTCATGTGTCTGGATGAAACTTCATTGAATACAGGGACCAGGATGATAAAGTGGCACAAGTATAAGTGCCATTTAGGCTATTCTGCCTTCTTGTGTATAAAAGTTTACGTGTAAAAGTAAATCTAACATATAAAAAAATACAGGATCATAAAACTAAAAACAAGTTTGTAAACTGCCACAAAATCAACTGACCTTAATATTTCAAGTAGAATTTGCAAATTTATATAAAACACAAAGTATGGCGATAGAATGTATAGGTCAAAATTTGGACGATTACGACCGATACCAAGTGTAACAAAGAGCAAGGTCCATACAACGCCGCATCTTAAGAATCCTTATGATGGACGACAACTAACAGTGGTTGGAAAATGCACGACGTCTGTGGTCGTGTTAGCATGATAGAAAACAATGGGAATATGCCTTTCAAATATTCCTTGTGTTGTACCTTTTTTTCTTTTAGGGTAAAAATGAGGGATTGTCTCCTATAAAAGGGGACCAAACACTCTATAAAAAAGGGTGATTCTTGACTTATCACAATTCTGAGAACTATATACGATTTTTACTTTAAGCTAAGAACATCCATTGCAAAATCTTTCTACATTCAAAGTTGTCATATTCATACTTTATCGTTCGGTTCTGAGATATAAAGAAACATTGTTCATATTGTTCACTCTTTGCATCTTTCAAGCTAGATCTTATTATACTTGGCTGAGATTTACCCCTTCAACTTCTTTAATTGATTTAATCAAAAGGGTTTCAAGATCTTTTGGTCAAACAATTTGGCGCCGTCTGTGGGAATTTCTTTATCTAAGATTTTAGCCTCATGAGACTCTTGAAAGGGATAATCACCTCCTCCTAGCTTTGTACAAACTAACAATGGCAGGGAAAGGAGATGCAAAACAAAAATTAATAGTAGGCGTCACAACCAACCTCCTGAACACCATCAACAATGATAGCAGGGAAGATAACAAAAATGAAACGCCAGACATCACACCTAGGGGAGACATTTCACCTCCCCCGCACGAAAGCGTAACTGCTTCACGCGAGAAGGAAGCCTCCACATCTGCAACAGGAAAGGCACCACCAGTAGTGTGAAGACTGCTGGAAGAATGGCTAACGAGTACTCTGAATGCCATACTTGACAAACCCGCCCAAAGGGATAACAAGAATGTTACACATGCAGATGTCACGATAAACATTGATGAGCAAGATGCCCCCCATACAGGTAACATTCATGTTGCTAATGACGCAGGTAATGATACGCTTGCAGCTGTTTTAAAGAAAATGAAGGAGATGGAAAATGAGAATAAGGCACTCCGTGATCAAATGAAGGAACACCAAGAGAGGGTTGACAAAATACTAGGTGCCCCAAAGTTGTTTCCAAAACGCGATGTTGGTCGATTCATTGAGCAGCCATACAGCGAAGAAGCGGCCCCATACGCCATTCCTAAAATATTCAAAATGCCTCCCTACTTAAAGATATATGATGGTACTGCTGATCTAGAGGATCATATCATCCACTACGTTACAGCCATAAAAGGTAACGTTCTTTCAAAAGAGCAGGTACCATCGGTGCTATTAAAAAAATTCGGAGAAACCCTAACAGGGGGAGCCTTGACATGGTACTCTCAACTGTCGGTGCGCTCGATAGCAACATTCGAGGAAATGGTAGACAAATTT